TACTAACGGGCCAGTCTTCTGGACCTGCGGACACGTCGAAGTGTTTACAGGCGGAGGCGGTTCTCACATAGCGAGGGTGGGTACCATGGAGACCCTTCACGTGTTGGTACCCCATCTCGCCAGCATGGTGCGGGTCTTCACTAAGTGTTTCCTGAAATGTACGTAGTCTGTGATGACACAAAGCTATCTGTAAGAATGTAGATCGGGTGAAGGCCGTTATAGTCTTGGTATCTGTTTATTTTTGTTGTTGTTTGCTTGTTTTTCATTTTAACGTAGCACTCTGCACTCTGCACTCTTCCTATCTCTGGTCATGTCCCGAGTAGATTACTGCAACAGCCTCCTCAACAACGTCAACCAAGATCAGCTACGTCGCCTTCAAGCCCTCCAAAACACTGCTGCAAGAATCATTACAAAGTCTAAAGTCTTCGATCACATTACTCCAATTCTAAACGATTTACACTGGCTACCAATCACCGCAAGAATTGACTACAAAACTATTGTAATGACGTACAAGTGTCTCAACGGAATGGCCCCTGACTACCTCGCAGAGTTATTGCCCCTATATCAGCCCTCAAGCTCACTTAGATCACAAAACCAAATGCTAGTGACAGTGCCAAACATCAAAACCAACTTTGGCAAAAGGTCGTTCGCTTTCAATGCAGCAATGAAGTGGAACGCGCTACCGCTTGAACTCAAAACCAGCGAGTCGCTAACATCTTTTAAGACTGGCCTCAAAACATTTCTTTTCAAGTGTCAATTTCCATCTTAAGCGCACAGAGCATTTATTAGTGAATGATGCGCTATATAAATGCAATTATTATTATTATTATTATTATTATTTATTCCAGCTGTATGACGGTCGTTTTAAATATTCGAGTCCGGACCAGACGATCCAGTGATTGACATTATGACTCCTTGTAAAACACTAGTTTTCACCACTGACTGCAACGACCCAACTCCACAGTTGCACTTTACAAGGTTTTAGTAGTGAGTGAATATGTTTCTACGCCGCTTTTAGCAATGTCATGGCGGAGTGCACTAGGTATGGGATTCACACACTGTGGAATCAACTTGGGTGACGAGCAAATGCTTCCACCACGAGGCTGTCCCATCGCCCCATGTGTTCAACAACAGTTCAAGCAACGAGTAACCCTATACAGAAGGAAGTCAAGGAAGTATTTTTATTTCAATGAATAAATGGATGCCACAATGTCGGTCAGGGAGATGTGATTACAGGACCGTTACCTAATTTCGTGGGTAACCTTGATTCGTGGATCGAGATAACGGCCGTGATATCTCATAGATTATGCCTCGTATTACATCCTACTGCGGTACTTTTCATGTGCACATACTGCCACTACAAAAATGTCGCTGCATTCTACTCATTATCATCATCATCAGGGGGGTAGGGTAGTCTAGTGGTTACAGTGGTCGCTCGTCACGTCGAAGGCCCGGGTTCGATTCCCCACATGGGTACAACGTAAGAAGCCCATTTGTGGTGTCACCCGCCGTGATTTTGCTGGAATATTGCTATTGAATATCACGCTTACAGGCGTACACTTAAGACGATACATCTGGGAGCAGGTATAACGGCGAATGCTTGTTGAGCTTAGCAGTATTCCAACTACATAACAAGGGTCATGTAAATAAACGACCTAGATATAACATCATCATCATCATCATCATCATCATCATCATCATCATCATCATCATCATCATCACGGTCATCATCATCATACTGCCACTCATTGCTGCCAGAAATCCTCCGAATCGCTGTATTATACACATCATCATCATCATCATCATCATCATCATCACGGTCATCATCATCATTCTGCCACTCATTGCTGACAGAAATCCTCCGAATCGCTGTATTATACACATCATCATCATCATCATCATCATCATAATCTCCATTATAACTATCATCATTACGCACCGGCCCCCTACCCCAGCGAGGGTCTCTGTAGAGGTCCATGTTGGGGTTCCAGCAGCTAAGGGCCTGGTGGATGCCCATGGACCCCGTCTTCACGAAGTGGTTGTAGTAGGCTCGAACCTCGGTACTGCTGGCCTCTGCTACTCGGTAGATCAGGTCCTTGCTGGAGAGTCGGGATAGAAATGTAAGGGACAGCAGGTGTAAATGTCACAGCGTCATGTCAAAGTATCTCATCAATCATTAGCATGAAACAAAACATCAAGGTGTTATTATTGGTAACCTTAATCACAACAGTAACATTGTACAGATTACAGTAATCCTAATCTCACAGCCCGTGAAGATCCGGGTTAGAACTGGTCTTCAGCAATTCAAGGTTACCGAAAGAAGCGACTAACGGGATCGGGTGGTCAAGGCTCGCTGACTTGCTTGACACATGTCATCATATCCCAATTGCGTAGTTCTCAGTATTCTCATATTGTCTATGAATGGATTGTCTGACCCAAACTCGATTATTTACAGATCACCGCCATATAGCTTGAATATTGCTGAGTGTGGTGTTAATCAACACACCAACCAGCCAACCAACCAACCAGCCAACCAACCAACCAACCAGCCAACCAACCAACCAGCCTTATCTCGGGCTTGTTAAAGCGTTCTTTCGTCACGCAGACGGCACGAGTTCAATTTGTCTTAAACTCACTGAATCAACGCTTCAATACTACACAATCAAATGTTGCTACATTAAACATTATAACGAATCTGACAATGTATGATTATCAGCAGTTAGACTGAAGTGACTCACTCAAAGGATGCTCCAATGCCAATTGCTTGGGGGAAGGCCGTGGCGTTCTGACCAACATCCCCCCGACCACAGTTTGTCCACCAAGAGTATTCCCCAATGCCTAATCTACTGATGGGTGGGGTAGCTCCCTGACCACTGGCCAGCTGGGCCTGAATCTCCTGGATGGTCAGTCTCCCCACGACGTCATCGACACGCACCTGCCAGGGTAGGGAGGCGTTACGGAAGGGGATGTCTGATGACGTAAACGATGCGAGAGCTGACAGAAATATTACAGAGGCGAAACGTTCCATCGTGAATACGAATAGCCGGCTGTTTTAACTGACAATGTCTGAGAAAGTGTGACAAGGGTCGATTTAATCACGTGATATATCCAGGTTATTATGAAAAGTCTGTGAATGTATCATCTGGCTTCGCGTCCAAGATAAGATTAAAATAATTCATGTAACGTTTCCTTATGTCAAGAACCGAATTGCCTCAGGTTTACTTTTACACCGCACTCAGCAATATTTCAGCTATATGACGGCAGTCTGTACATAATCGAGTCTGGATCAGACAATCCAGTGATCAACAGCATGAGCATCGATCTGCGCAATTGGGAACCGATGACATGTGTCAAGCAAGTCAGCGAGCCTGACCACCTAATCCCGTTAGTCGCCTCTTACGACAAGCATGGGTTATTGAAGATCAATATTCTAACCCGGACCTTCACGGGTCCGTATCATAGAGTAAAGACTCTATAACATTTGGTGCTGAGAGCATCATAATCAGTGTTCACGTGTTTCAGCTCAACGCCACAATTGTCCAAAAACTCTTGGCTTATATCTTATAAATAATGCTTGTGACACGCGGATAGTGTTGCATCCTATACTTACACGCAAGATCACTTTATCTGTAATTTTTTTTAAATCTAAAGATATAACCACCTGTTTGTATTTTCATCTGATAGACAATGAAATGATATTAAAAATATTGAGCCAGGCAATCAAATGTCAGTAATCACTTGTATCCTCAATATCGACAAACTAATAATGGACGCATGAAAAATCAGATTTTCCCTCGTCGCCTGTGTTCTTGTCCGTGCAAGCAATTTCCTTAACTGGTTCTTCAGCCTTTCTGATCTTTCGATTGCTCTAAGTGTGATACGCTGTTCTATGTTTGCAGTCTTTTGAAACACAAAGAGCAATTGGTGGACTAACCGCTGTGGTTAGTGATATTACCCTTGCGTATATCCGCTATCTGTCGTTTCCAAAGGAGATACAATTTCACCATTGGCACCAGGGATCGATCTGATAGCGGCATCCAGCGTCGTGTTACACTCGCACGCCAAGACCGTTAAATCTACAGAACGGTCTAGCAGAATCGGTTCCCAGTGTCATGGAACCCAATGGTAGGACCACATGGACACGGACTGAACCTTAACTTTCAAAGGTCCCATAGAATGGTAAATTTTGAAACGTATTTAATTAACACAGATGATAACGTTTAGACAATTTTATTTAAGTTTAGAACATCCAATCACAATTTACCCGTTGAAACAGACAGGTGGAGTATAAGGCCATTAGCAAACCAGGAAACAGTTCATTCAAGCTGATACGATTCGTGAAAAGGATATCCAACATAGGCATCCAGCTTAATATATGGACCATGACTGTCCATAGAAAAAAAAAAAAAAATAAGGACCGGTCGCAATGTCCTTCCTCCGTGACGAGACCGCCTCCGTGATGTAGTGGTTAGAGCATCCGCCCGGAGAGTGGAAGGTCGCGGGTTCGATCCCCGACCGCGTCATACCAAAAGACGTTAAAATATGGTACTTGTTGGTCCCTGCCTGGCGCTCGGCATTAATGGGTACAACAAGGACTGGTCGGCTCGGAGTCAGTATAATGTGTCTGAGTGGGGTATTCATGCTTCACTGCGGCATGGTATCTCAGTGGGCTAGCACTATAAAACCAGCTTAAGTCTGGGCTAGTACAAGCAGCCGCACATACACATACACACGCATGCACGTCGTCATATGAGCGAAATATTCTCAAGCACGACGTTAAACCCAATTTCACCTCACCTCACCTCCTCCTCGGCGATTCTTTTCAAACTTAATGGATATGATGAATGAGATACACATAGCTCATTAAGTTCAACTTGTCGATTATGTCGAGATGATTCTCATTTCCGAAGCCATTAGGTATCACGTGTCTTGGAACCAACCAGACACTATTCATAATAAACATTAAAATGAAAAGCAAGAAATGGTCACTGTGGTATATTTTAATATTTTCCTAATATTTTAGTTCCTATAATTTGAAACTGCCGCTGCAACACGTTAGATCCGACAGACATCCGCTGATTGGGCTGCTGGCCTCCAACATAGATATTCATTGTACCTGCAACACAGGGTGTATTGGAGGGCGTAAGTTACACGTGCAATTGTCCTCCATCGGGGTGGACAAATGACTTTCTTTGTGGAGTATACAGTGTCTGATAGATTCACTCCTAAAACCATTGATATATTTCCAGTCGTTATTATTATTACATTACAAAAACATCCTATTTACCAGGTAAAGTTCATATTTACCTGGGAGTACCACCCATCCATCGTTATCTGTCCATACGGCCATGTTCCTGGGGTCCAGTGTAAACTCGTAAACAGCAGACCTACCGGACGCGATGGTTGTCCTGGTGAACGATACCAGCTGAATTCTGGGTACAGGAAGTGACGTATTTTGCCACGACATGTAGGCCTGGGAAACCTGAGAAATGTGTGAAATATATGAAACTTGACAATCAATTTGGATGCCAAGCTGGTGGACAACGTTGCAAGGCAACTTGACAGCATAATGACACTGTGCTAGCTGAACACAGCATGTCAACTCAAAACAGGCCAACCCGGCCAACCCAGATCATCTACTTATATATGTTTCACACATTTCCATACAAGGCTGATTATGAAACAGGTATATATATATATATCCAAACATCCAAATATCCAAACCAAAAAATAAATCTTTGCTCTTCCATGAAAATTATATGTTAATAATCCCTGAACCAAAGAGTTTTGTGACATAACCTAGTTTGTGTATATATGTTGTACACTGACCTCATCAGCGTCATACGACCCCGTGTTGTAGACAGTGACACTACACCACAGCCCCTCCCCCGCAATGACGGTGATGTCGCAGGTAAAGTCATCATATCTGAACGTGGTGTACGACAAGCCGTAGCCGTAGGGGAAGGCCGGCTCTCCATCAAAGAACCAGTATGTCCGACCAGCCATAGAATAGTTCACCATCGGAGGAATCTGCAAGAAGACATTCGTTTGTTAAATAATAACAGCTCGGCCACGTGTTGAATTGAATAACATATTCATCTGAGAATCACTGCTCGTACACGTGTTGAATTAAATAACATATTCATCTGAGAATCACTGCTCGTACACGTGTTGATTTGAATAACATAATCATCTGAGAATCACTGCTCGTACACGTGTTGAATTAAATAACATATTCATCTGAGAATCATTGCTCGTACACGTGTTGAATTAAATAACATATTCATCTGAGAATCACTACTCGTACACGTGTTGATTTGAATAACATATTCACCTGAGAATCACTGCTCGTACACGTGTTGAATTAAATAACATATTCACCTGGGAATCACAGCTCGGCCACGCGTTGAATTAGATAACATATTCACCTGAGAATCACTGCTCGGCCACGTGTAAGGCAGTCTGGCAGCTGGCACAGACCCCTCCCCGGTGTTTGTGAGGGAAGCAAATATGGCGTCGCCGGCCGCTTGAGCAGGTAAGAAACATTCCATGATTGCGACAACACCTGGATCCGTCATCGCCCAGTTAATGTTGACTGGTCCCCCAGTAAATAACAGTAGCACCACTGGTTTGTTGGCTGTTGAAGATAAATGTGTATATCTGTAAACATTGAAACATTGTTTAGGAAGTCAAGTTAGGCGCTGTCTCCTTTTGATTTCAAGACAGCATTGTTCATGCACAGATTGAAGAACCAAGCACACGTTTTCCGTTGAATTTACATATTTATACAACGAACCAACGTACGATTACAAGGCAGTTTCGATGTGAGACTTACAATGATGACCTTACATGAAATAGAACGGTAGTTATTTGTGTGTTTTACAGTTTTGACAGAGACAGTACATTTCAGCAGCAAAGTGATAATCTTACATGAAGTACAATGAAAGTTATTTGTGAGTTTTACAGTTTTTACAGACATAATACATTTAAGCAGAAACGGCCCTGAATAGATATGTTGACGATGTTGATGGTGTAATTGATGTAGAATGTGTAGGTGATATCTCACTGTTGCTGACGACGTCTGTAGAAGCTGCAGTTGCTGTCCCGGCAGGGAGATGTTTTGTCGATCATGCCCCTCCGTCTCGATTGCCTGGCCTGTTTCAAATACATAGACACTGATTATTTATTGGATACATTTGTATGAGGCTAAATTCTTCTGAAATCCCACAGTCATATCCAAAAGAAATATTGAAACACCAAACCCACTCGTTAATATAGTCTCAGGTGTAATGAAATCAAATATCCAAAACGTGGAGCTGGACCGTGAAGATCCGGATTAGAATTGGTCTCCATCAATTCATGCTTGTGGTAAGAGACGACTAACGGCATCGAGTGGTCAGGCTCGCTGACTTGGTTGACACATGCCATCGTATCACAATTGGGTAGATTGATGCTCGTGCTGTTGATCACTGGATTGTCAGGTCCAGACTCCATTATTTAAAGACTGTCGCCAAACAAATAAACAAACAAACAAACAAACCAAATGTAGAACTGGCCCCGATTTCCCGAAACAAACTTCAGTCTCAATTTTGACTCAAATTTGAGAATATGCATTTCCCTGAATGAACTGAAATCGATATTATTTTTTTTGCTTTTTAATTTAAAGATAAAAATTAAGCTGTTTCAAATTGTCAAACTCAGTTTGAAACTTGAGTGAAAACTAAAGTTTGTTTCGAGAAATCGGGGCCTGGAATTTTGATTACTCCGGTTGTCCGCTGCCTCATGTATGCCGAGGCTACAGGAATATGAAGATATGTGTCTCTTGTTACGACAGAAACCCCTGTAAATTCATGCAAAGTCAGCGGCAGGCTAAATCAGGCCACATAAGCGGATATCATGTAACACCTATTGACGTAGTGGAGATCATACCTGTCCCCAAGCATACAAAGACGGCATCAGCTCCTTGCAGCGCATTCACCACGTTAGTCCTGTTGTAGTCGTTGCAAGCGGTGCTGGAGCAGCCTGCGGCGTACAGGGCAGCATTGCCCAGTTTCAGCAGCCCGCTCAGAGGGGACGTGATGAAGCGGGGGTCGGTCTTTGGTGCGTAGTCACCAAACAGTTGTTCTGTGTCATTTGACATTGGCCCAACAACCTGTAAATACACCACGTACCAAAGATAGAATCCATCATTTGCTTTGCACACATGCAGGAAGCGATTGTTCTCAGTGTGTCATTGAAGTGATTCAGTTACCTAAACATGTTCTGGTTCACTTACAGCAACTTTATCAAAATGTGATTTGATCGGCAGAAAACCGTTGTCATTCTTCAGCAAGACGAAGCTCTTGATGGCTGCCTCTACAGCCAGCTGTCGATGTGTGGAGCTCAGCACGACGTCATCAATGTCAAGGTAGTTGTAAGGGTTCATTTCCGGTGGGTCAAACTCTCCCAGCCTCAGTCTGGTGTAGAAGAGTGGTTTGATCTGATCCCGGACAAACGACTCTGTCAGCTTGTTCTGTTGTATCGCCGGAACTGAAAGCGTAAGAAGATAATTCTACTTCCTCGAAAGTTACGCCTGCTTTCAGAGACGGAAAGGATGGGCGTACAAGAGCAACAGAAGATTGAAGAAACCAAGAAAAGCCAAATGTGGAACGAAAGTAAAAGAGATGGAAGCGAGAAAAAATATAAGAGGCTGAAGAAGAAAAGAAAAGAAAGCGGATTAGAAGATGAGAAAAATGAAGTCGATAGAGAGGAAGAAGAAGAAGCTGAAGGAGATGAGAGACTGCAGGAGGAGAGTCTTGCATCATAAAGAAGATCAAGCAGGACAAAAATCCAACGAAGAGGGAAAACGAAATATGCGCGCTATGTTGAAGCAGAAAAGTATGGGAAGGCGTTGAAGAGAAGTTCAAGGAATGGAGGAAAAGTGGAAATGAGGGCAACGTGTGGAATTGAATTGCGTTGAACATGAATACTATTGGGGGGAGGGAGGACGATGAGGTCATAGAGAAAAAGATGCAAGGAAGGAGAAAAATGGTTGACTGTATGTTGTTTTATGCCAATCAGCAATCCAGCAAATTAGTCAAATCAACTCCTATGACAATAGTTTTCTAAGTACAAATTCTACCCTGATTATCTCATGTTTATTAGTGGTGTGATGGAACAAATGATATACGTTGGACAACCTTTGCAATGAGGATATCATATTTATATTTCTGAAACTGTTCATAAAAAATTGATCCACTGCATATGTTGATGTTACCTACTTATCGAGTTATAGACTCTCATGTCTCCTCGCTGGACTTCCAGGTTACACCCGGCCTTTAGACAAGCTGCAGCGGTGTCGACGGTGTTGTTCAAGTATTTATGTATGGTGATGATGTTGAGGATCTCGCCGGCGTCTGCTGCGATGTAGCCGGTGAAGTTCCACTCCCCCCTCAGTATGTCAGTCAACAGCTTCTTGTTGGCGCAGGCGGGGACACCGTTGATGCTGGATGTAGATGCATACTGATGTTTAATATCTTATGTACTTTGGCACAACGTTGAATCCAAAGTGAACAGTATTGTGTCAGCATGAAATCATTATGTGTTTGTTTCTTTGGATTCGGTTACCGACTCCGTGGTGTTCAATTGCGGGTTCGATCCCCAGCCGCGTCATACCAAAGGACGTTAAAATATGGTACTTGTTGGTCCCTGCCTGGCGCTCGGCATTAATGGGTACAACAAGGACTGGTCAGCTCGGAGTCAGTATAATGTGTCTGAGTGGGGTATTCATGCTTAACTGCGGCATGGTATCTCAGTGAGTTAGCACTATAACACCAGCTTATGTCTGGGCTTGTAGAAGCAGTCACACATACACACGCATGCACGTCGTCATATGAGCAAAATATTCTTAAGTGCGACGTTAAACTTTATTTCACCTCACCTCACCGTTTGTGTCATATACTATATGACTGACTGAGTTTTGTTTTACGCCGCTTTTAGCAATATTCCAGCAACATCACGGAGGGGGACACCAGAAATGGGCTTCACACATTGTACCCATGTGGGGATTCGAACCCGGGTCTTCGGCGTGATGAGCGAACGCTTTAACCACTAGGCTACCCCACCGCCCCCTACTATATGACAAGAAGGATGACTTCTACTTTCACCATGTTAATCATCCCATATGTCAGGTAATAGCGCACGAGCTTCTGCATTACGTGTTTGCCTTTAACACCTGTTTATGTACAACCGAGTACGATCTTTCAGCAAGATTTCAGACGAATCTTATATGATCATTCAACAAAAAATATTTAAAAATGCATTGTCGCACACATTCACAGGACTGCCCCAAATTTGATCCACCACTGCCGAATGTGTTGTCTAATGCAGCTCACATGTGTTTGCTTGGAAGTGGTTATGGTGCCAAGGACACCAAAATGCTTGGGAACAGTCATAATGTGTTGTCTAATGCAGCTCACATGTGTTTGCTTGGAAGTGGTTATGGTGCCAAGGACACCAAAATGCTTGGGAACAGTCATAATGTGTTGTCTAATGCAGCTGACATGTGTTTGCTTGGAAGTGCTTATGGTGCCAAGGACACCAAAATGCTTGGGAACAGTCATAATGTGTTGTCTAATGCAGCTGACATGTGTTTGCTTGGAAGTGCTTATGGTGCCAAGGACACCAAACTGCTTGAGAACAGTCATAATGTGTTGTCTAATGCAGCTCACATATGTTTGCTTGGAAGTGTTTATGGTGCCCAGGACACCAAAATGCTTGGAAACAGGCATAAAGTGTTTGCTTGAAATGTAAAACAAACACATAATTTACCTGTTCTAGGCACATTTAAGTTCATGTATAGTGTATATGTACAGGTTAATCACCCTTACAAGGTTGTTCTAAAGCCCTCGCAGAATTTATTTAACTGACTATTGTAGTGAGGGTGATTAAACGGCTTACACCGCGTGGGCAGACTTCTTTAATACGCGTGTAATGTATTATGCATGATGAAGATTATCAAAAAAGTACAATTGCATTGTTTTTCAATAGAA